GCTTTGTTCCTGTTCTCAGACAACAAGGGATATAGCTGGAGAGATGGGGTGGGGGTGGGGAAAGAGGAAGAAAAAAACAGGAAGTGAAGGGGGGGGGCAGAAGGAAGGAAATGATAGCGAAAACACAGCAACTCTGAACAGTCCTTGGCCTGATGAGAAAGTGATTTCTAAGCCCGCACTGGTGGGGCAGGCCCTGCATTCGGGAAGCCAGGTCATGACGGACACAAGGGGAGAGAAGTTGGCTTCTCCTGAATTCGGGCTGGGTGCCCATCAATTCCATTTCCCACTCCTGAGTCCAGGGGACAGAACGCTCAGGAGTGGGCATCCCGGATGCAGGGACTGCTTCACCAGGAGCCTTAGGTTCCACATTGAAAGGGTTACGTTTTTAGGAGGAAGGATCCTAGGATGGGAAAATGTCCCTTACCTCGTGGTTGTGGCTAGGAGGCCAAGGGTGTCGCCAGAGAATCTAGAAATAAAAGAGAAGTTGGTGAGGAGAACCGATGATCAGAAGGAGCTAACCCATCCCCACTGCTTTTCTTCTGCGATGCTGTCGGCATGACGAGATGCTTGTCATGTAGGAATGGGGTCTGATTCCCCAGGCTGAGCCCAGCAAGCGTCCTGCTCTCTTCTACCACACAACAAACATAAATGATCCAGGAGAAAGGTGAGTACTCTCCCGACCACGGTGCTCAAATACCTCCAGAGTCTTTTCTTCCGAAACAGACCTCTACTGAAAATATCATTTCACTTCCTTATAGAAGCTTATAGAAGTTCCCCAATCCAAAGGCACATCACTAGGACCACCTGTCACCTGATGAATTGAACACGCTGCTCAAATAGGCGATTGTAACCGTACTTTGCATCCTGGTGCTGGACTTCCAGCAGGGCAGGGCATGCAGACCAACCGACGAGGTAAACCCTCAGACACCAGGCCCACCCACTCCAGTGGTGCCCTTCAGCTGGCTGTGCACCTGGGGGAGCTAGTTCAAATAACGAGCCAGAATAGGGATCAGGAATCTCTAAGAGGAACTTCAAAAAGTTTGCATGGAAATGGAATGAAAAGATAAAGGGATGTCCTAGCAATGTCTGGACAGCCTCCTTGTATTGTTACAAAGCTTTGGGGGTTGTTTGGAACTGGCTTAGCCTGGCTCTGGCCCACAGACTAGTGTTGGGATGGTGAGGATTCTAACCTATCTCTCACTCCCCCCTCCACGTGATAAAGATCACAGGGCCTAAAGAGACAGCGGCTCGCTCCAGGTCCCACAGCTAGTAGCCTTCTAGGCCCTGGCCCGATTCTGTAAATGATTTCCCGTGCCATCCAAACAAATGGGAGGCAAGGAGAGTAAGCATATCTTTGAGAAGCATCCAAGTTTTTTGAAGTGATTGCTGGCGGTTTACTGTGTGAGTCACCCATAGGCCAAATGTCCACTAGGGAGAAGAGAGATCAAGCAGAGAAGGAAACTTGAAACTTGTCTCCTCTCTCCACACACAGCATCACCTCGCATAACATCATGCTTATTTCTTCCATCTAAGCCAGAGCCGGTTCCTCCAGTCCTCCTCTGCCGCGCCCCAAGGAGACAATGACCAACAGACATGACTGGGAGTCTGTGTCTTCTCCCACTCTGTGGCCAACCAAGGACTGTCGGTAGTATGAATTCTGAAAGAGGTACAAACAGAGTGGGGCGCTTTCTAATCTGAAAATTGGAGAAGCTGGAATCAAAGACCCGAGATGACGGATCCAAGGTCTCGCAGCAGAGCTGGTGCTAGAACTAAGGTCTCCTGACTTCCATCGAAGGACACGCTCAGTGTACTATGATTTTCACCCAGACCACATTCAGTGAAGGCACTGAGCAAGGCTTAGAACGCTCCCTGTGTAAGAGCGGCCATGGACAACTTTAAATGGCTCTGAGAATGAGAGGGGAAGGCAGGGGGCAACCCAAGAGAAAGCAATATAGCTCCCGAGAGGACAAAGGGAACGAGAAGACCACATTCCCAACCTCCAGATGGGGCAGGTAGACAATCTGAAGCCCCGAGTGGGAGTCTCAGTCAAGCTTCCACAGTTCGTGAGAAGCAGAGCCTAGATTCTCAATCAGAAAGGCTCAGTGTGACCGGTTTCTGATAGCGGCAAGAGCAATGTGCATCACTAAGATGTAAGAAAACTGAACCAGCTGCTGTAGTCAATTCTGACTCATCGTGACGCGAAACGATAAAGTAGAACTGTCGCCAACGGTTTCTAAGACTGCCTGTCTGTCTGGAAGCGGACTACCACATCTTTCTCCCCTGGAGCAGTTAGTGGATTTGAATGGCCAACCTTTCCCTGAGTACAGTGGTTCTCAACCTTCCTAATGCCAGGACCCTTTAGTACAGTTCCTCAGGTTGTGGTGACCCCCCAACCATAAAATTATTTTCGTTGCTACTTCATAACTATCATTTTGCTACTGTTATGAATTGGGTGACCCCTGTGGAAGGGTCGTTCAACCCCCAAAGGGGTCACGACCCACAGGTTGAAAACCACTGCCTTAGAAGCTGAGCATTTAACCATGACACCCCCAGGGATCCAAGAGCAGATAATAAAACTAGCTGCTATTCCAAGAACTCACTATGTGCCAGGCTTTGTTGAGCACTATGCCTTTAGAGACTGACTAAGACCTCCCAGAAATCACAAAAGGTGGGGCGTTCACAGAGTCCCTTCCTACAGATGGGGAAAGCGGTAAACAAGTCACTTGTCCACTATGTTCCGCGATGAATTCAAGATTTGAATTGAGGCAGTCTGGTTTGAATTCCCATTCTTAACTAGTTGCTGTCTAATCAATTCTGACCTATAGCAATGAAATGTGGGTTAGAATAGAACTGGGCTCCATAGGATTCCTAACAGCTGATTAAAAAAGATCATCAGACCTTCTTCTAAGGCACTTCTGGGTGAACATGGGATGCTGACTTTTCAGTTACCCATTTTCACCACGCAGGACTGCTCATTCTAAAATAAGCCAGAGAATAAGCAGACTCACTCTCAACAACTGGGTTCCGACCCCCAGCCACCCTGCAGGGCAGGGAATAACTGCCCCTGTCTGTTTCTGAGACCATAACTCTTTACTGGAGTAGAAAGCCCCATCTTTCTCCTGAGGAGTGGCTGGTGGTTTCAAACAGCTGACCTTGCAGTTAGCAGGCCAACGCATCACCACCACACCACCATGATAAAATATACCCTCTCAAATCAACTCGTCTGAAGAGAAAACAGGCAGAAAGCTCAGGCAAGGCAGGGAGAGTGGAAAAAGACTAGAAGCACATGACACCTTTCCTCCAAGGGAGAGGAGAGGAAAACTCCCAGCAGGTTGTGCTGTGTAGAGCTGCCCAGGCAGGACCAGACATTTGGCCCCCAGCCCCCCTTGGTGACCATCCACAGGCGCTAGTCAGCACAGGGGAATGACGGAATGACACGCGGGCCTTGCTGCGTGCGCTGCATCACATGTGAGGAGAGAGGAGGCTGGGACAGGGAGTGGACCAAGGGCGGACCCCAGATGAGAGTCATCATGGTGGGTGGAAGGGATGATGTCCTGGGAACTTGTTTCCCATGACCCACAGGGCTGGACCAGCTGGGCAGGCAGACAAGAGACTCTGCCCATGTCCCCCGCACTGACAGTGCCCTTCTGGTTTGTGTGTGTTTGGGGGAGTGGGGAGGCAGGAATTGTCCCCAGGGACCCAAGAGCTTCTGTGGATGGTGCCTAAGCTCAGCCCCAGCGACCTGTAGGGAGGAGGCAGTGCAGGGATCTTACCGTGCACTGCACGATGCAGGGGCGTGGGCCAAAGTAATCATAGTGGTGGCCTGACGACAATTATGATGATGATGATGAAGATAATGGCAGGCACCACTTGCTGACAGCTTGGTATGTGTCAGGACATAAACTAAGTGCTTTAAATAGATTATTTAATAATGACACCAACTCTGTGAGGTCTGTACGGGTATGCCTAATTGATAATGTGAGGAAGCTGAAATAATTCCCTAAAGATCCCAGAGATAGTAGGTGATGAGAGAGGATCAAAACGGCGTTCTCTCTGACATTCTGGTTCCAGGTCTCACCCCTCCACTGCACAGTGCTGTGAAGTGATGAGTTAACTTACCCCGCAACATGCAATCGCGCTAGCTTCCCGTGGCCAGCGTCGAGCTACTGAAGCACACCGTACAGGGCTTCTGCGTCACATTTACCATCTATGACACTATTTGAGTACACAGTTAAGCTCCCTGATAGCTTGGACCCAGAGGCGCCGTCTTCTGAAAAGTCATCTGCCAAAGATCCGAGGGACTCACATTTCTACTCTGACACACAAGGGTCACCGGGATTTGGGATCGGCTCAAAGATATCTGCACATATCCGAAGTCTGCTCGCCACGTGGACACACAGGATCACATACAAGGGGGCCTTTGAAAAGGGGACGAAAAAATGGATGAAAAAAAAAATCATGGGACTTTCCCCTGAATTTTGAAGCGCCCTTGTATAATGAGGGTGGCCGTGTAATTTATCACCCGAATGTTGAGAGCGAAAAGGAGCCCAATTAACAATACCTCGGGGACAACAGGCATAAGGCATAAACTGGGACTGTCCCAGGTACACAGGACATATGGTCACTTTGCACATGGTTCTTGCCCCTTCTCATGGGGTCAGTTATTTTTATGCCCAGTTGTGCTGGTGGGGAGGGGTCTAGGGATGGGGGGAACTCTCCCAGACAGCCCCCCCAATTCCCACTCTACACAAACACTCCTTTATAATAACACCGTCTCTCTTTGTTCGCCAGCCTGTCTCCTACATTAGTTGGGCTTATAGGCTTATGCAAAGAACAGGCTGATGCAGCTTGATTATAAAGCAGCTGGGCTTTATAAAGGCAGTATAAAGATGCTAGAGGCAGTGAGATGTAAGGGTGTGACCAGCTTTAATAATATGCTTTACAAGGACTGGTGGGTGCTTTGAGCCTGGAAACCCCACCCTAGAATGTCCAACTGTGGTAATAACCAGTAAGCCCTACGCAAGGCGGTGGCTGTGGCCGTTTGTCCAGGCAGCCCAAGGCCACCGAATAGGCAGCCGGTCGGGGAAGCCGAGGTCACTCACTGGAGAAGTTGCTGACCTCTGAAAGGACACGAGACTCAGTTTCTCCCAGGGCCAGCCTATAGCTGGGGCCTGGCCTGAACTGGGGGAACTCGAAGCAGATCCTACATCTGCCTGGCGATTGGGGGGCTGTAGGCTTTGGCTCTGTGGGAGAAAGACCTATGAGTGGCTTGCATAACCGTGAGACAAGGAATGTGATCATCCTGCTTGGTTAGCAGGGTCACCATGCGCAAAAATCGGCTTGGTGGCAGCCAACCACAATAAGCCTTTTTGGGGTCTGGATTCTCGTCTTCAACATCCTGGGCAATCTGCCTCCCAAAGAGTGTCTGGCCAAGGAGGGAACAAATGCTATCAGTCTGAAACCAGGA